AAAGCTATGGTTTTTCCAGTAGTCATGTATAGATGTGGGAGTTGGACTATAAAGAAAGCTGAGTGCCAAAGAATTAATACTATTGAACTGTGGTGTTGGAGAAGACTCTTGAGAGTTCCTTGGACTGCAAGGAGATCCAGCTAGTCAATCATAAAGGAAATCAGTCCTGAATATTCATTGGAAGGACTGAAGCTGAAGCTGAAACTCCAATAATTTGGCCACCTGATGTGAAGAACCGGCTCATTTGAAAAGACCCTGATGCTGGGAAAGATTGAGGGCAGGAGGAGAAAGGGATGGCAGAGGATGAGATGGTTGGGTGGCATCACTGACACGATGGACACGAGTTTGAGTAAACTCCAGGAGTTGGTGATGGACAGGGAAGCCTGGTGTGCTGCAGTCCATGGGGTGGCAAAGAGTTGGACACGACTGAGCGACTAAACTGAACTGAACTGCTTCTCAGTTAAGCTCTGAGGAGCTGGGGGTTGGGGTGGATGTTAGAAAGTGCAAGAGGCAGCATCAGCTACATCTGCAACCCATTAAGGAGAAGGAGGGCTTAAAGAAGAGAAAAGCGAAAAGCAGGATTTGGCCCCAGATAGATGAGAACACTCCTGAGAGTCCCTTGGACAGCAGGGAGATCAAACCAGTCAACCTTAAATCAACCCTGAATACTCATTGAAAAGACTGATGCTGAAGCTGAAGCTTCAATACTTTGGCCACCTGATGCCAACAGCCAACTCATTGGAAAAGACCCTGATGCTGGGAAAGATTGAGGGCAGGAGGAGAAGGGAATGACAGATGATGAGATGGTTGGATGACATCACCGACACAATGGACATGAACGTGGGCAAATTCCAGGATATGGTGAGGGACAGGGAAGCTTAGTGTGCTGCTGTCCAACGGGTCGTGTAGAGTCTGACACGACTTGGCAACTGAACAGTGAACAGGTGAGATGCATATGAAAAAAATGATTTTAGTAAGGTTGGACGCTTACATCTTCCCATACATAAGAGTGCTAAATCCCTTAATGCACGATATCTGGTTTTCCTTAATTAACAATAATCTTTTAATATTCAGATTACCTGCCCCTTGCTACAAAACTTCTATATAGCCCAATTCCTCCCCCAGCCTCCTGCAAAACAGTTCTCTTGGGGTCACCTGAGATGCTGTCTCCTGGGCTTGAAGTCCTCATGGATCCCATGGAATAAACCTAACTCAACTTTTAGGCCGCATGTATTCTTTCAGTTGACAGAAATTATCTTATTTTTGGACTTTTAACTTGTATTAGAGATACATTAAAAAAATTTTGATCTTGTATTCAAAGACTGTGCTAAACTCATTTATTAATTCCAGTAGTGTTTGTATGTGTGTACCCCACTGTTTTTGTGGCCTGGAGAATATACTTTAAAAGAATATAAACTCTGCTGTCACTCAGTTCAGAGGTCTATTATCTGAACTATTATCTGAACAGGTCTATTAACCTGTTAGGTTGATAAGTGTTGTTCAAGTCTTCTATAGCCTTAGTGGTTTCCTGTCTAGTTGATCTACCCATTATTGACAGTGTGATATTAAATTATCAAGTTATTGTCTATTTCTACCTTCTCACCAATTTTTGCTTCACGTATTTAGGACTGTTTCAGGTGCATGTACCTTTCTAATTGTTACAGTTTCTTGATGTATTGACCATTTTATTATGAAATGTCTGTTTCTAGAAATACTTGTCTTAAAGTCATTTTGTCTGTCCTTATTATTGCCACAGCAAATTTCTTACGGTTGCCATTTGCAGGGCCTATCACTCTTAAGTATTGTTGTTAGTCTTTTTGTCGTAATACATGATGCAATTTTGTATGTAAAGTTGCTCTTGTTTTAATTTTGAAGTTTCATAATAATTAAGCTATAAATTCTTTGATGAGTTTCACACACCTTTCCCTACAGTGTTGGGTATAATAAATACTCGATCCATTAAAAGCAATCAGATAACAAACAAGTTCCTCTTTAAACAAAAGAATCCAGTTGTGTTATTTGCTAACAGTGTTGTCGTCTGATGCTTTGTCACCTTCAGTATAGATTTTGAAACCTGAGAATGACACTTACCTGCCCTCCTGCAAGTTCCAATCCTAGACTTATGAACTGTACAAGGTGTATTCAAGAATCACATTTTAGGAACACTCATTTAAGTCAGATGGCTTAATCCTAGGCATTACTGCTCTCATGAAAAACTTTTATAAAGAAAATTGGGACTCCCCTGATGGTCCAGTGGCTAAGACTTCATGCTCCCATTGCAGGGGGCCCAGGTCCAATACCTTGTCAGGGAACCAGGTCCCACATGTTGCAACTAAGACTTTGCATGCTACAACAAAGGCTGAAGACCCTGCAGGCTGCAACTAAGTCCCAGTACAGCCAAATAAATAAATATTAAAAAAAAATATAGCAACAGAAAATTGTCCAGACCATTACATCAGTTCAGTTCAGTTCAGTAGCTCAGTCGTGTCTGACTCTTTGCGACCCCATGAATCGCAGCACGCCAGGCCTCCCTGTCCCATCACCAACTCCCGGAGTTTACTCAAACTCATGTCCATCGAGTCAGTGATGCCATCCAGCCATCTCATCCTCTGTCGTCCCCTTCTCCTGTCCCCAATCCCTCCCAGCATCAGGGTCTTTTCCAATGAGTCAACTCTTCACATGCGGTGGCCGAAGTATCAGCTTCAGCATCAGTCCTTCCAATGAACACCCAGGACTTATCTCCTTCAGGATGGACTGGTTGGATCTCCTTGCAGTCCAAGGGACTCTCAAGAGTCTTCTCCAACACCATAGTTCAAAAGCATCAATTTTTTGGCGCTCAGCTTCTTCAGTCCAACTATCACATCCATACATGACCACTGGAAAAACCATAGCCTTGACCAGACAGACCTTTGTTGGCATAGTAACGCAACTTTACTCTTCATGAGAGCAGTATACTGTTCATGATAACCCCATGAACAGTATGAGACCATTACATAGGTCCCTGATATTATTCATAATGTGCATAATACTGCTTATTCTCACAATTAAGATACAAGAGTACACTTGAACTTTAGGAATCATTATCTTACAAGGTAATTTATAATTGTATAACTTGTGCTAAATGACCTTTTCAAGTATTGATTCTTTGGTATTTTGAAACCTTGCCTCAGAAAAAAGATCTTGCTGACTGCCACATATGTTAATGTTAAAAGATATTACAATTATTATCCAAGTGATCTGTTTGTCAATTTAAATAGGGTCTGAGTTTGATACATGTTGATGTCAATGGGCTTAAAAAAATTTCTGTCTGCTCAACGAATCCTATAGGACAAAAAAGGGTCATTTTTTTAAAAGTTATACTTTTTCTGTACTCTTAAATGGCTATGAAATTGTTCACTGATAATACTTGGAATTGAATATAATTGCCTAAGTATACTTCTAACCCCCCTATATAATGACATTTTTATGAGATTATTGCATTGAGCCTCTTTGATTTGTGGCTTCCTTAAAATCACCTATGTATTTGATATGTTAGGAAAGGGACAATAAAAATTACGCAATTACTGAAAGGTGCAAATGGCGGTAGAGAATGAAAGCTAAGGATTAGTAGTAACTAAACTGGTGCTCATGATCTTGGATCAGGAATAAAGGGGATCTTTTTTTATAAAAGGAATAAAATAAATAAATAAATAAAATAAAAAAAATAAATAAATAATAAAATAAAATAATAAATAAATAATAAATAAATTTAAAAAATAAATAAAAGGAATAAAATGTCTTCTTTTTGAAAAATTAGTTTTATTTTTTCTAAGGAAGTAAGGAGAAGGGGATGACAGAGGATGAGATGCTTGGATGGCATCACCCACTCAATGGACATGAGTTTGAGCAAGCTCAGAAAGTTGGTGATGGACAGTGGAGCCTGGCGTCCTGCAATCCATGGGGTTAACAAAGAGTCGGACACGACTGAGCGACTGAACTGAACATAACTGATACAAAAATATTCCTACTGGTAATTCACCTCCACCCTTCAGCTGAATTTCTATTTCGAGAAACACAGCTTCTTGTCAGCCATACTTTCTGATCAGCATATTGTTTTCAGAAGAAAGGAATAACTTGCAAGGCTCAAGGAACATACTTGCAAGTTGCCAAGATTCTTATCACTTGAAAGTCTGTTATACACCCTGCACGTGAGCTAAATCTTCATTTAAATTCCAAACTCCAAAATAAACATTTCCATGAAGAATTCTTGCAATACATAATAACAAACGATAATCAAAACGCTTCTGATTTAGGCAGTTTTTAAGTAGACGATCTAAACACAGCTGCTACAACTTCCAATAAATACAGGGCAGCATAGAACCACCCGCACTTGGTTGCTTCCTTGGAAAACACGTTATCTTCCCCTTAGTTATCATATTGTACGTAGTACAGCATTTAACTTAACCTGACTCCTACAACAGAACATAAAACTTGCTCCAGGGCAGAAATGGATCCATAATCAAAATAGCATCAAATGATACATTAACAAAAATTACTTAACACCTAAAGCCTCAAAATGGCAAATGAACTTCGAAATGTAGCCTCCAACGGAAGCTCTAGGGAGTGAAATGTACACCCACAGTCTTGTTTTGCTAGCTTGCTTTGTAACCATGGGTTCCGCCCTGAGATAGGTGGTGAGCTAATCTTTGGTGTCTGATAACTCATGAACAGGTGTCTCTTCCGCCATCCAGTCCCCGTGTGTTACTCCTCCACACAGTGGGTCCTGAGCCCGTGGGAGGACTCCGCCCCGAAGGGCAATTTCTCAGCCCCGATCGGGCCTAATCCATCCCACATCCAGGTACTCGAATGCAGCCCATTCACTTGCTTTACGCATGACGGGCTGCCAACAGTTACTTATGGCAGAAGGATTATTATCTAGGTGTCACTCAGAGCTTGGAAGACCAGTGGAAGGTACAAACCCTCCACACTCTGCTCGGCCGCAGCCCTTTCCCTGTCGCGTCCTAGGAGCCTCCTCCAAGCCACCAACTCCGCTCTCGGTCCAGCGGGGAAACCAGCGAAGAAGAGCACGCACGTGCGCGCAACTGAGCATGCGCCGTGGCCCGCCTGTTGGGCGACTGCAGTAGGAGCGGCGTCGCAATATCAACCACACTCTCTCTCCCCGCCCCCAGGTCGCCGGGACCTGGAGCGTCCGGGATCCGGCGCTCGTGCGTGATGACGTACTTGCTCGCGTAGACGTGGGGACGCAGGCGGGCCGTCAGAGAGCGTGAGTTTCCGCGTCTGTTCGTCGCCGCTCTGGTAGTCCAGTTGGGGCCGCGGGCGCCGACCGCTGTGGGGCTAGGGCTGCGGGCGGCTGTCGGCGGTTCCCTGAGGCCCGAGCGGGGGCGGGTTTGGAGGCCCAGCCCCCGCATCTAGGGATCTCTAGCCGCTCGAAGAATGGGGAGTTTCCGGAACAACTCTATCCAGGGGTCTAAGCGTCTTCACCCTCCGTCTCTGCTTGAGGCCGATCGCACCGGGAAGGACGGGCAGAGGCGTTGGGAGGATGGGATCGTTGGTTTCGGGGAGAGGGGATGGTTAAAGGATCCCTTATGAAAGCGGGAAGTTTAAACTGGTGTTGCATCAGCAGTGGCTTGTGGTTTCAGTTTCTCTTGTAAGGAGTAACTCTTTCTTTGCACCAGTGTATGGCAAACACAATCCTAACCTGAGTAGTGATTATTTCCCTTATTAGGGGACAGGAAGTAAACTAAGTGTACACAACCCTTTTATGTCCGGGCCTTATAAACCTATTCAAAAACAGATCCTATGTGTTTATGTTTTTCTAAACCAAGCATAAGCTCTCTTGAAGACTCAGGGTTACCGGCACAATAAATTATTGCGTAGTCATGACTGAGTCATTGAGATGGGTAGGCCCTTTTGCAGTGACAGCTGGACATTGCGGCTTTTTTTTTTTTTGTCCTTTGGAATTGTTTCTTAAAAATCTGACGCTTCACATTTATATGACACACTTTTCTGGTTCTAATAACTTTTTTTTAAAAATAACTTTTAATTAAATCTAAAACTTCTACTAATTTGCTGCTGGCGTGGCAAGGGTTGGGAAAACAATTCATCTTAGAAGAATGCAGTGCGTTGCGTTCGTAAGTTGTCTCAGTTTTACTGGCATCAGCAACACCTGAGAACTTGTTGAAACTGCAAAGTGAAGAGTCTTGCCCCAAACTCCATGAATCAGAAATCTGTTTTAAGGATATTGCCAACTGATGCCAGTACACCTGGGTGCTACAGTTTGAGAAATGCTGGCGGGAGTGAAAAAGAGCAGCCAGGCATTGTGGAGTCACAGAATGGAATTTGAATCCAGGTGAAACCTTTCCTAGGTTTTGGATGTTGGACTAGTTACAGGTAACTTCATAGGGTATTCTATGTGAAAATTCAGGAAGAATGTTTTAACGCAGGTGGGAAACGAGATGTTACTAAGTAATTTGTTAGAATAAGATGTTAGGTAATTTGCCTAAAATAAGTACATAGATTGTGCTAGAAGGATTCTTCTTTGGTTTAGATATGAGTTGTAATGCACGAATATTGTGCCTCTGCTGCTGCTTAGAGGCCAGTTTGTTTATGGATTCTCACTGTGTTGTATACAGTTGAGGTTGTCCAGTGTTACTCAGTTAATACCTATGCTGTGGTGTTAAGAACCACACTGGTAATTGTGTTAAAGAGTAGTTTTTTTTTTTTTTTTTTGGTTTCCAGAGTCTGGCTTTATTTGCAGTACAGAAATCATTTGGAGACATCACTGAAGCAGAGGTTCTGTCAAATCAATACTGCGCTGCAGCTTGGTCCGTTGAAGAAGCCACACCTGGGATACAGAAGAAGCTCCTACGTTTACCTGCTTTATGATGGGTTTCTTTGGCCTTTTGGTCTTTCCCGTGTAATTGTACCTTCTTTTGACCCAGAATTTGGTAAAAAAAAAAAAAAAAGGTAAAGTAGATAACTGACCATAGACCAGCCTCAGCCTTAGAGTTGAGAAGTATTATAGAGCAGTGACCGGGAAACAAGAGGCAAGACTGAAGATGTTTCGCTCCTTATCTTTTTTTCCCACGTGTCATACAGCTCCACGATATTAGCAGAGAAGGCCTCATCCTATCCACTTATCTCTGTTTTCTGAAGCATCTCAGGAATTAAGTTAGATATGCCCTCCATCCACTGTTTTGACCAAACGTCAGTTGCAGTCTTTGCTTACAACTTTCTTCCCTTTTCAGGGCATCAGTGTTGGGGGTATATAGAGAAATATTCAGGACTTGAAGCAGCTGCCCTAAAGCCTAGACTCACTGTGATGTTGAGAAGAGTGCCACTGAGACAACACGTCACTCTGATTAGTCCTGTGCCCCTAACTCCGCACTGTGGTTCCTGGGTATTGTGGTGAGTTTTCAGATTGACAGGAGTCAGTGTAGATTTCAGCTCCTATAAGTAGTTTTGTTAATGTTGCTACTAAACTAACACTGTCCCACCATGAAGCGTTCACTTTTCACAATGACCCATTTTTCTTGTCCTCTGTGTCTGAGAGGCAGATCTCTGTGGTTGGGGTCAGGCAGACCCTACTTTGAACCCCGCCTCTGTTACGTACTGATCATGTCGAGTAGACAAGTTAATATCTTCCCAGTATTCATTTCCTCTCCTATAGAGTAGGAGTCATGGTATGGACTACCTTAGGACATTGGATGAAATAAAATCAAGTGCAAAACACGTCTGTTACGCTGAGAGGCTCAGTTAACTGGTAAACATTGGACAAGGGACAAAAGGTAGTGATCACGTCAAATCTAGCTTGATCTCATTCATTGCCTCATAATATTTTTATAAATGAGGTGATTCTGTTAATTACCTAACTGCACTGCTTTTTTTTTCTTTTTTAAAACAAAATGCTGAGGAGTCAAAGCTTTCATGTTATTGTGTATGAGAGAAAGCAGACACTTGGAGAAAGTTAAAACTCAACCCAGTGTAAGAACACAATTTTCAGGTCTATCACTGTAACAGAGCAACTTTTCTGAATTGTTTTGTGTGTTTACTGAAAGGACAATATCAGGATCGAGGGTTAATATTTAAGTATCTTTAGTTAACAAGGATAGCTAGAGGAAGGGGCACTTGTCACAGCAGATGAGACTTCACTAAAGACATGCAGCAAAGAATAAGAAAACGCTGTCAGCTCTGAAATCATTATTTTTCAATATGGATGCTTAATGATAGCAAAGTGAAAAGTTTTGTATTCCATTTTTTAAAATACCAAAAATCTCTTGTATTTCTGTGTATATTACGTGTGAATATGTGAGCACGGCGGGCGTCATTACTAGCTCGTAATTTTGTTTACTTGGCAATATGTGATCATGTGGGAGTGGGGGCAGATAATCCATACATTATACATATATTTGTAAAAATTCTTTTAAAAGCCGTTACAGAGATAGAAGTGCCTTAAAAAGATCTCCTTTTGTGCTGCAGTTCCAGTCAATCATCTAAGCAGGGGACCTCAGATTTTTATAGAAGGGAAACTGTTTAGCATCATCTTGTAAAGCTCAGGAGCTGAGAGGCTTTGAGAGAGTTTGAAGGGCTTATCCTGAACCTCCTGCAGTGACCCTCCATGGAGGCTGAGTCAGAAGGTGTGAAACCCCTCATCTTGGTGTGGAAATCCTCAGGAGATGAGCTGTACTGTACCCAAGAAGTCTGGGCACTGAGAATTCCTGAGTGGGATTCACAAACATTTTCTAAAAACAACTTCCAGGGTTTTCAGCAATGTCAAACATGCCATACATATGCTTTTCTTGCAGAGAAATGAGTGGCCATTAGAAAAGAAAAATCCAGCCTTCAACGTGATTTATACAAAAATAGGAATCTAGGCACATTTTTTGAGAAATCATCTGAGGTTTTTTTATTTTTAATCATTCTAAGCTTGTGACATATATTAGCACAGTTAAAACTATTTAATATTTTAACTGGCGGTTGTTAGCCTTATAAGTGACTCAAGGAAAAAGAAACAAGGAGTTGGTGGAAATATATTACTTGTGTTTACTGTCCTTTGGTTTTCTGTTGTATGAAAACAGCTGGTTTGCATTTATATGGTAAAAGGTTTTTCTTAGAGTTAATTTCCAGTTAAGAGTGAGCTTTCATAAGAAAAATAATCTCAAATGCTAAGTATTTGTTAGATTGTTATTAATATCAGTAGTAGTATTATCACATCGCCCTTTTTCACACATTGAGGAGGGTTTCCTGGTGACAGCTGGAGTGTGGGGGAGGGGGAGTCACTTTCAATCAACCAGCTGCTCTGTGCAGCATCATGATGGTGATATTTCAAAGCCTGTGGACAATTTTGGCTGAATTCAGGAGAGAAAATGTATCAAATTTCTGGGAAGCAGTAGATAGTGTGCAAGAGCCCTTGGGATCTAGCTGGTAGCCAGCTAGCAACGTGTGCATTCAGGTTTGCATGCTGGTGTTATTTACCACCGCCTCTTTTGGACATTGTTACATGGGTATCATAATTAGAAAGCAATAAAGTCTAGTTCCATGGGGGCAGAAGGCTCATTGCTTTATGGAGGGGAAGGGAGAATGGAAAACAAACTTTGGGGATGTGCTATGTGCTTTTACATGACAGGCTATTGCATTTCTTCTTCCTGATGATGCCAGAAAGTAAGTGGAATTTTCATCATCCATGGATAAAGAAAGTAAAGCTCAGCAGGATTGATTATGTGATTTGCACAAAGCCACGTACTAGTAAGCGTCTAGATTTGACCCCAAATCTGGTTTTAGCCCCAGGAATGTTGTTCTACACCAGTGGTTGTTTCTCGATGGTGTTCAGTTGCTTATGCATTTTTTGAATCCAAAGTCACAATCTCAGGATAGTTATGAATGAAATTTAGATATAAATGACAATGACTTCAGTTTTATATAAATAATATATAAGGATGTGTGAATTTCCCTTGAAAGAAGTCTCTTGGGCAACACTGTGAAGGAAATTTTGCTACCTTTTTTTATGTTACAAATCCCAGACATTTGCAGTGATGGATATTGTAATGAATCAGTTGTGATGCTGAGTTTGAACAGATGTAGGAGCAAACATTTTGCCTGATGCCCAGGTAGTAGAAGTTCCTTCACGCCAGAGTCTTCAGGTCTTTCTCTTTCCAAGGAATGTTCATTTTGTATTAATAAGGGACCTTTTTGCTTTCTAAATGTTCACCCTGTAGCTGTTACATCCACCAAATGATGACTTAAAATTTCATCCATTTCTTTTTGTGAAATGGCTCCACTGCTTTGCCTCTGAGTGTTCTGGTTGTTTCATCTCCCTCCTTGTTGCTCGCAGGATGATACTTGCTCCAGTGCTTGCTTTCTTTCCTCCCACATCCCATAAGGTGTTAGTTGCTCAGTCGTGTCTGGCTCT